CATTTCCACCAGTGGGTGTAAAACACTCCCCAGCTGAGCTGCGTTTTACAGCCACTTCGCACGGGCGGGAACGATTGGGCAAGGTGCGGGGGGCAATGGTGAATCGGGCCCTTGGCGCCAGGTCGCTGGCTGGATTGACCGTCCCTGAAGGGCTGAGGCTGCTAGCCCTGAAATCAACCACACATGTGTCAATGTCTCCTCTCCAAACCCCAGAGCGGCAAAACCTCCCTGTGGGTCAGGGGGTCCAACCACCCCCCTAGGATCCTGCTGCGTAACAGCGACGGCTGCTCCCCACACTGATCGGGGAGCGAGCCAAGCTCACCCAGCCCAGGCACTGGCAACAGGAGTGACTGGTTTATCTGGGTCAGTGCGTAGCACGGCAGAGGCTAAAACCTGTTCTGAGATATCGTAACCTGCTTGGCACGTCAGGCTGAGCTCCCCCGCGAGTTCACACTGATAATTGCTTCTCCCAGGGATCTGCCAGTGTGGACATGTCGGGGCTGGAGTTTCTGCAGCAGTTTTGCCAGGCCGATGTGCCAGGGCGCTGCACCCTTGGGAGGCGCTTTAGACAACAGCTCCTGATGGGCGGGATCCCCGTGGGAGAGGCCAGGAAGCCAGGAGACCCAGCACAAGGGGGTGTTTGTTCACGGTTAGATTCTGAGCTCAGTTGTCCTGGTGTAAAGCCAGAGACATTCCACTGGAACTGAGTGGGGTGAGTCAGGATTTACGCCCAGGTCAGAATCCGGCCTGGAAGGTTGAACATTTTAGGCAGAGATTTTTCAAATGCGCCTAAGGGGGTTTTGGGGCTAAAACACTTGGGAATCAGGAGTCATCCAAGAGCCTTGGGCGGCCCTGCTCCCCGCTCAGCTCGGTGCTTTCAGGGCCGCACCAGAGAGGGAGGATCGGGCACCGTCGTCAGACTTGCGCTAAAACCAGGGCTCAAGTCCCTGCTGTGCCGCTGAATTCCTGCATGACCTTGGTCCACTCTATAGAACGGGGACATTAGCACTCCCTACCTCAGAGGGGTTGCGAGGGTACATGCCTTAAATACTGTGAGGTACTCTGATGCCACAGTGAGGGGCACCAGCCAAGTACCTAAGAAAGTATTTATCTTAGTCTGGTAAAAATTATGCTGCGGTTCTAGGCACTGACCCAAAACCCGATGCAGACAAGGGGGTGGGGCAGGGCATGGGGGGATTTTGGTGGGCGTCAGATCTGGCCCCTTGTGTCTCTGCAGTTAAGCCCATTTCTGTGTGTGTGTTGTGATAGGGTCCCCCTTGCCAGGCACTGGCCCGTCTGCACACAGGGAATTTCACCCCTCCGGTGCCAGGGCATAGGTCCTCTCCCATTCTTCCCCAGCTCCATCCAGCCGCTAAAGGCCGGGACCGCTGTAAACTTGCTGTGTCAGAGACAGGTGTGGGGATGAGCCCAGGACTTGGAAGCAAGAACCTCCTAAGTTCTAATCCTCACATGAAAATCCTCCATGGCCGAGGGCAAGTCATTTGACCAGCAAGTGCCTCGGTTTCCCCATCTGTAAAATAATAATAACAGGATAGAACTTTAATTAGTTGGCATCTGGAAGATCAAACCACCGTGTTAAAATAATCCTCTACCCCATCAGGTCAAAGGGTTTAGACAAACATTGTTCAATATCATCACCTTTCACGGGGGGGGACAGGCACAGAAAATGGACGTGACACACCCTAAGTCACACAAGCAGTCTGTGGCAGAGCTGGCATAAGAACCCAGAGCTCCCAGCATTCCTTCCCAGGATCAGGAAGGGAACCCAGGAGACCTGCGCTTTAACGGCTAGACCTGTCCCTGTCTCTGCTTTACTGCTCTAAGCCGAGCCTGCCAGCCGTTCCAGCTTGGAGCGGGTAACAGCCTTTGTAGGGTAACGCCTGAGTGTCCACCCCCAGCACCCGGCCGGCTGCCAGACACCCGGCACCTGGCCTGGGCTCTCCCCTCCCCATCCTGCCCCCTGGCCGGACAGTCGTAACTCCGAGGTTCAGAGGTTCCAGTCTCCGGCACCAGATGGGCCCTGCCAGGGTATTTCCTCCTGCGCTTCCCGGCCTAGCGAAGACGCCGACGCCCCATATCTGGTTCCCTTACCGGGGCCTGATTCTCAGTCCCGCAAGCCAGGGAGCCGGGCAGTCTGGGCCAGAGAAGCGAGCAGGGCTGGGGGCATTGGGGTGCTGGGCGGGGGGGCCCAAGAGAGAGGTTCTCCTACGTGAGGCTGCCCCTGGAACTCCAGCCCCGCACCAGGCATTGCAGACGGGCGCCAGGCAGGGAGCGGGACACAGAGCCAGAGTTTTCTGTCAAGAAACGGAACGGCTCGAAGGGGTGCCAGCGGGGGGCAGAGCCTGCCAGCCAGGCAGAGAAAGCAGCTGTTGGTGCCGGCTGAGCCCGCCCCTCGCCCCCCCCCTCCCAGCTCTGTCCAGCTGCCAGTTCCCCTTCTTAGGACCTGGGCTGGGACGCGAGGGCGGTGGGAAGGAGACCGGGGCCCCGCGGCATTCAGGCTTAGTGCACGCAGCAGGCAGGGGCACTCCGGCAGCAGCCTGCACCCACCCACTAGTAAGTGGCTAACTACGGCTCCCAGGCAAACAGGCGGGGGGGGCACTCAGGCTCGTGGGGTTTGGGGAAGGAAGGGCGGGGGCATAATCCTGCTATCGCTCGCCATGGGGTGACTGGAGCCAGTGGACTTGGGGGCGGGGGAGCACAGGGGTGGGCTCAGGCTGGCCAGGTGCTCGCTGGTGGGGCTGGAGGGGGGATGGCTTCTGTGGGCTGGGGGTGCCATGAGCCAGGGACCCGTGGAGCTGGCGTGGGGCAGGGCCCACGGAGCGGTCGGGCCTGCTCCTGCTCCCATGTGAGGCGAAGCCCTCGCTGGCGCCGAGGGGAGCAGGACTGCGGCCCCATTTGGGGGGGGGATGGGAGCGGGTGTGGGGGGGGCAGGTATGAATCGGGGGGCAGTGCTGGCAGGAGGGCGCGCTCGTAAATGGGGGTGAGAGGAGGGTCGAGGGGGCTGTGCTTGCAGCACGGGGAGAAAGAGGACCCCCCCCCGCTTTTGCTCCCCTCGAGCCCCAGAGCTTTGGGTTGGGAGAGTGAACGGCCCCTGGGGTACGACCCCCGGCATGTGCCCACCCTGGCCTCTGGGGTAGGACTCCCCCGCGCAACTGCTGCTCCCCACCCTCCCTGGCCCTGCCCTGGGGTATGACCGGCCCCAGCCCCTTGTGTACCCTCCAGCTGCCATAGCCAGCACCCCCCCCTGCACTGAGGGGGCCTCGTCTCGGGGGGGGGGCATTCCCAGGGGCAGTTCCCACCCCCCTCCGCTCCCTCTCCTTTGCCCGGGGCCAGTCTCCAAAGGGTCTGAGACTGAGCTAGGGTTTTGCTGAGTTCATTCAAGCCACAGACTCGGGAGATGCCCCCCATGCCCCCTGCCCCCCCCGGCTCAGACGGCTGCAGCCCCCTCCCTCCCACCCAGAGGGTGCAGTCGTCGTCCCCCCAGCAGCTGCCCCACTCCTGCCCACACTGGGAGCTGCACCAGCCAAGTGTGCGAACTCTGTGTCGGGCAGCAAACAGCTCCCCTGCCCTCCATCCCCCCAACCCCGGGGGGGGGCCAGGCCAGGCCAGGCTGGTCTGGCCCCACAGCAGGGCCCAGCTGGGTTGCCCTGGCCAGGGGACTTCCCAGCCCAGATGTGTGGGGAATGAGAGGCTCCGTCCTGCCTGGCGCTGAGGGGGGATCGGCTCTGTTCTTCCCCCCTATGATACAGGACCCCCAGATGGGGGTCAGCGCCCCAGCCTGAGTCCCTGTGCCGGACCCCAGCCGGAGGCCCAGGGAGCGGGGTCAATCCTGCAATGCAGCTCCCAGCCCGGGGATGTGTCTTTAAACCCCTTTGGGGAAGGTGCGTGGCCCAGCCAAATGCCAGCCGGCCGCCCCCACCCCGTCCGGCCATGCCACACCCCAAACCAGGCAGGGAGAGGGAGGGTGGGGGGCTCCGGGGGCTGTCAGTCCAGATTGGGTGTGGGGGAGGGGGAACAGCAGTCTCATGGTGCTGCCCATCCCCGTGGTGTCGGAGCTGGGGTAGGACAGCCATGGGTGGGAGGCCGCTGGGGACGATGACAGACGTGGCGGGGGTGGGTTATCGCTTTTTTAAATGGTGCAACTAAATATTGTCCCCGTTTGGGCTGCGCCACCTCGTGCTTCGCTCATCTGCTTCAACTGGAAGTTTTGTGAGGCAGGGGCCATGGCCCCGCTCTGCCCCCAGCCCAGCCGGGCCTCAGGTCTGTGCACTGTTGTCCTCCCCTGCTCAGCTGTGTGTCATAGACTCTCTAGTACTAATGGAGATTCTCCCTTTGTACAAGTGGCAGCGGCCTAGCTTTATGGGGCAGGGGGGCGCGAGCTGGCTGTCGAGGTGACGTTCTCAGACCCTGTTGGGGTGCCGGGAGTTTTTGACGTTGTCTTATACTGCTAGAGAGCCCGTCAGCTGCAGGGTCCCGGAGCGCCGTACATGGAGGGCGGTGGGTGCCGAGGGGCCTCGGGGCCGAGCGGGGTATAAATAGCTCAGATCGCTAGTGGAGTAGATTAGACAGAAGCGTTTCACCCGGCTGTGAAATGCAGCCACCTCTGCAGTGGCATGCAGGGGCGGTGCTGGCCGGGAAGAACAATGCCGTGTGGGACTGAGCCCGCAGGTGGGGACCCAGGATATGATTAGTTCCCCAATTAGTGTCTGCATTGGAATTCAGGCCAGCCAGCCGGTTTCCACCCGGGTCTTGTGCAACAGAGCCATGGGCTCAGGGACTCGGATTAATGTCTCCTGCCGCACGGCGCCCCCTAGCGCCACGCCGGGCCAGCACTGACGGTGAGAGGAGAGCGCCCCCTATGGACCCACTCCCTGCCGCACAGTGCCCCCTAGCGCCAGGCCGGGCCAGCACTGACGGCGAGGGGAGAGCGCCCCCTACCGACCCCCACTCCCTGCCGCACGGCGCCCCCTAGAGCCACGCCGGGCCAGCACTGACAGCGAGGGGAGGGCAAGTCTCCCTCCTGGGCTCTGTATTTGCAGCAGAGGGAGAGAGGGGGGATCCCCTGCTTTTGCGGCTCTCGATCCCCAGAGCTTTGGGCAGGGAGGGTGGAACTGGCTCCCCCAGGGACGCTGGCCCCTGGGGTATGAGTCCCTGCTCCCAGCCCACCCTGGCCCTGGGGTATGAGCAACCCTGCTTCTGAGCATGAGATCGGGTATGGGGGCAGCCCCCGGGGTATCAGAGCTTGGGGCTCCCCCTGTGGGTGGGTCTGGGGGCAGCCAGGGGGCACTTCCCCCTGGCAACACCCTTGTGCCCGCCCGGGCGGCTTTGATCCCAGGCTCCATGTCTGTAACAGGAGCTGCGCCGAGCCGGCTCTATCAGCCAAGCTCCGGGCCAGGAATCTGGTTTCCTGGCTCCGCTGTTACCGCAGCAACCTTTCAAGCAGGGATTTTTTAATTTGACAAGGGGCCTTTATATAGACATGCAGCGCTAGGCCGAGGGGGGCTCGGGTCCGTTACCCGATAGGGCCCCCCCCGCCACGCCACGCCGGCTCCCATTGTCCAGCCGGAGCCGCCAGGAGACATCCGATAGCCGGGGCCTTATCAGCACCGGGGGCAGAGTGAAAGCAGCAGGATGGGTTACAGGCGTCTGCGCCACCACGGCTGGCACCGGTTCAGGAGCAAATATACCAGAGTGTTCCACAGCACTGAGCCAAGGTACTGGAGTAACACTCGGACAAAGTACTGGAGTAACAGTGCTGGGCCGTCTGGC